TTACTATGATGCAGATCATCCAAATTTTACTATGTTTTACAACCTCCTATAGATCGGCGGGAAATGTCCTGTGACTGCTATGGAAAATGATTATTATAAAAGATACGGAATTATTCCGAAAAAATTATAAAGTATATTAGCATTATTATTATAATTTTCCTAACTCTGTACATTTTCTGTACATTTTCTGTATACATCCATAAATTGCATTACATTCATAAATTTCAAAACATAGATTAAATGTGTCCATTCCATATCTAAAAATTTATTCCATATCAAATATAGGGGAAATTCTTATACATTCCATATGTTTATTTTCTATAGGGATGAATAAATAAATATATTATACAAAATTATTATAGAACAACTAACTACTACTACTACCTTGTATATATCTCTTTTAATTTTATTTTCTTTATTTTTATTTAGCTTAGACCAATGCTTAAGAGGAGCAAACCCTAGCTAGGTGCAGTCAGTCCAGACACTAACCTAAACATAAAAAAACAAAGCCAACCAAGTAATAAGAAAGCCTAAAGAACTGAGGCAGATATTTAGGAAGGTAAATATCTTGGGAACATGCTGGCTCAGGCAGATAACAAAGAACTGCTGAGAAAACATTACTGGACGGGGAAATAAAAATTGCCCCCACACAGATTAATAGACCAAGAACTATTAATATCATACACACCAGAGAAGTAATTGCAATTGAGAACAAAACTATCAAGGAGCACCTGTGTAAATCAAACATTACTATAAATCAAGTATTGAGATTACAAATACCAAGGAGCCGTTCACTCACGTCTGTACAGATTAAGTAAGATAAAGAAATAAATAAAATAAAATATTTCAATCTCACAATACAAGACTATTAATTTAACAGTAACTATAGAATGAATACCTTGTTGCATCCTCCTTCAGCTTTTCCTTTAGTAGTTTCATTTATTGTTTAAAATTTTCAGTTTTAGTTTCTTTACAAAGTGCACATTTGGCACCTTTCACTATTATACCTTGAAAATGTTTAAAAGATAACAAGTTCATCTACCCAACTCCCCAGCTTCCGTTTTATTTTACTTGACTTTGTAAATTTTTTATATTTTGGAGCCTACCCTAATTTCATTGCAAATTACACATCTGCAGCATAATACCATATTGGAAATAATAGTACTAAGTAAAGTATGTCAAAATTGCAGATACCAATGGATGCAGCTGGAATTAACACGGGTTTTATCTGTGATTGGTTGATCCATAAAAAAATTGATTGGCTAATTTTATAATATGCTGATCATTATTAAAATTTTTTAATATTGCTTTCAAGACAATAAAATAAATAGATTCTTATCAATGTTTTTTATTTGTAATTGGTAATAAATAATTCAACAAAAACATTAGGGTGAAAACTCTTGTTATAATTACAATGTAATAAAGTATGCCTATGGTTCAAGGCAGCATATATGAATGTATCATTTACTCACTACTTGTGATATATCAAATTATTATATAATTCTTATCTAATGCCACTTATTCATAAAGTTGATCAGAATAACTATGAAATCACATCTGGCTTGTGGAAGCTTCCTTAAGAATCTCATATTAATCTAGATTTGGTTTAGCAGCTGCTTCTTCTATGATGAGCTTGAAAGTTTGTTTGTCAAACCTACAATTATACATGTTGTTAAAATTAATTTGGTTTTGACTCAATCCCCAAAATCTCAATTTTTAATTGCGGACTTTGTTTTTCATATGACTCAATTAATTACATTAAAAAAGCCACCTTATTGAGTCAAGTGATCAGCTTATTTATACCGCATGTATAGCCTACATTACCTCACTCATCTTCATTAGTTAAATCATAAACACCTATATAATATTCACTTTCTTCTTGTGTCATGGTTGTTTTCATTGTTTTTTTATAATATTATATAATTTATTGTCAGCATACCATTGAACAATCATCAATTTACAAATAATTCTCTTTTTAATCTGTGCTCTTGATTTTTATAATTGGAAATTAGTTAGATTTGATCATGTGATTTTTACATAAAAATAACAATTCATATGAGCAATTTTTATCATGCAGTACAAGTAGTTATAAAGGCCCATATTTGGTTGATCTTTTCAATATATTATGTATTTTAAAATGACATCTTGTTTTAATAAAAAATTGCTATTCTTTGAAAAAAAAACCAAGTTTAAAGGTTATAGTGGACAGAATATTCATTATAATAGCTTAATCACTGTGTATAAATTTTACAGAGAGGAATTCCGAAAGCACAAAAATAGTCGGTACGTGGCGCAGCAATTTGATGTCTAGGTGACATCACGTTTTTATACTTTGAAGGCTGATAAAATATAAAAAACATATAAATATATATTTCAAGGTCTTTTCTTTATTTTGGCACCGAAATATCAATATTTATTATGTAGGTTATTGATAAACACCTTTAAAAGACAATATGGGTAAAATCCACAATACAGGGTTTGAAATTTGTTCTGAAAAGGACCGGTTTTACTCAAACTATTTTTAAGAGACGAAAGTCAAAACTAAAATTAAAAGTTATATGTCAAAACTAAATCAAAGTCAAAAGTCAAAGTCAAAACTAGTTTCGACTTATGGTGAAACCTTTTGACTTTTGCACAGTTACGAACTCTCTAGTTCCCAGAAACCAACACTAACTCAAATCAACTGGATTTTAGAATTTTCAATCAGATTTCTTTTCTGGTTCAAATATTTTAACTGGATCTATATATGAAGATTATGATGGATTTATTAGTGGACATCTGTAGTAAAAATCAAAAATACATTTTCAAATGTTGAATTAATAGATTCTCTTAAATACTTGATCCAAAAGAATGGAATCTTATAAATGACAATATTTCAAGTTATGGGAGAAGAGAGTTGAATATTTTGTTGGAACATTTGGAAAAGAAAAGAAACAAATTGATAAAAAAAAATGAATGTCAAGAATGGTTGATTTACTGAACAGCAATTAAATTTGCTCATTTCGATAAAGACATGCTTCCAAATACACAATAACACCTTTTTCAAGTGTACCAGGTCACTTTTTTTGAAAAAGTGTAAAATGGCTTTTTGTCCTCAAACAATCTGCATGAACTCATTTTGTTGAATTTCTGAGGTTAAGCCTTTGAATCCCCCCAATGAATACCATATAAAACCTACTCAATTTAATAGTTTCTTCATGGTTAAGTTTTGATTTTGAACACATAATTCTCCATTTATTGCATTCTCTACATTGCACAACCATACCAACATTTTTTGCATATTTAAAATAGTTGAAGTTCATCGGATTTTGCATGTTAATATAAAATCATAAAATAAAAGGCACTGGGTCATTTTCAAATTCTGATGTGCGAACCGAAAAATCGAGTTTTTCCGGCCTTATTTCAAGAATTTTGGGCTTTAGTCCTTTGTACTAACGTTCTAAGAAAATCGTGTAACATTAACAATAAATTAGTCATTTCTGTTTTTGAAATTCGATATCTAAAAATTCGGAATAAACAGGAGGACAAGCTGAAATTTTGAAAATCTGTCAAAAAAACTAATGAAAAAAAAAGATCAAAAAAAATTTAAAAAAATTTTTTTTTAGTTACCAATTTTTCTTTTATTATTATAATAATTAAATATGGAAGCACCACCTGTTCAAAACATTCAAAAAATTGAATTGTATTCTGGCAAGTATTATCTTACATGTGCTTATGGAGGTATTTTAGCGTGTGGTTTAACGCATACATTAGTTACACCTCTTGACCTTGTAAAATGTCGTAGACAGGTAAAATAATAATAATTGTTATCATTATCTTATGACGAAATGGTACAATGATGAAATTACGGTATATAAATAATAATAATGAAACAATGAATAATTATTTTTTAAAAAAAAAAAATAGGTTGATACAAAGCTTTATAAAGGAAATTTTGATGGATGGAGTAAAATTTATCGAACATCAGGAGTTGGTGGATTGTATACTGGATGGTTACCAACATTTATCGGATATTCATTCCAAGGAGCAGCCAAATATGGATTTTATGAAGTTTTTAAGAAAAAATATTCGGATTTGGCTGGTGAAGAGACTGCATTCAAATATCGTACTGGCCTTTATTTAGCTGCTAGTGCAAGGTATTATTAATTTGTTATGTGTAAATTTGTGGATATTGTAATTATTTAATTCTTTAATATTTAATCAATTAATTAATTATTATTAATTTATTTATTTACTTTTTTTGAAAATAAAAAGTGCTGAAATTATAGCAGATATTGCATTATGTCCATGGGAAGCATTAAAAGTTAGAATGCAAACAAGCACACAACCATTTGCTAGTTCAACAGCTGCAGGATTCAACAAGATTTTGAAAGCAGAAGGATTAAATGGGTAAATATATATATATATATATTGGAAATTAGAAATTAGGATTGAAATATACACATATAACAATGATTTGCTATTAGATTTTATAAAGGTCTTACACCTCTCTGGAGTAGACAAGTTCCATATACAATGATGAAATTTGCTAGTTTTGAAAAAACTGTTGGTAATGTATATTTTTATGAATTCATTTATTTATTTTAATTATATTAATCAATTATATTTTATTTAAAATGTAGAAATTATTTATCAGCAACTTGGTAAACCAAAAGAAGCCTATAATAAACTTGAACAGCTGGGAGTTTCTTTCCTTGGTGGATATATTGCCGGTGTTTTTTGTGCTATTGTTAGTCATCCAGCTGATACTGTCGTTTCTAAGGTATTAATTGGTTATTGTGTTATTATTTACAACTATATTACTATTATTGTTATTGTTGTTGTTGTTATTCTAATATTATTATAATATTTATCTAACAAATCCACATTCCCAACTTTTTAAAACCTCACCAATTTTTAACTTTCTACAGCTTAATAATATATCTAAAGCAGAAGGAGATTCAACGTTTGCACTAACAGGTCGCATATTAAAAGATTTAGGATTTCTTGGTGTTTGGCGAGGACTTGGTACTCGTGTGATTATGATTGGTACATTGACGGCTTTACAATGGCTTATTTATGATTATGTGAAGGTGTATGCTGGATTACCAACTACTGGTTCATCAGGAAAAAAAAAAATTGATGAATGATGAATTACATATTAATAATAATAACAGTATTAGTAATGTTGGCAGCAATAAAAATATTAATGGTAATGGTAATGATAATAACGATGATGATCATGGTAATAATATTAATTTGTTAGGAAACGTTAATTTTAATAGAACGGATGATTTAATAAAAGTGGTACCAAAGAAAGATACAGGATCTTCTTATATTACAGAAACACAAGATGATGATATTCAATGGCTTCTTTATTCGTATGGACTAGATTTACAAGATGATGTTGAAAGATTAATTTATGAGATTGATGATGAATGAGAAGAAGAATGAGAATTAATGAATTAATGAATGAATGAAATTCCTTATGAATTTATTATTATTATTATGAATATTTTTATTATCATTATCAATTATTTCTATTTTTATTTTATTTTATTTTTTAATTCATTATCTTATTGTTGTTATTATTATATTATTAGAATTTTTTAAATTAATAAAAAAAATTTTTTTTTTTGTTCCTTCCCCTTCCCCAAAACTGTTATAAAAATTTTATACTATTCTCCCTATCAATTCTTTTTTTTTTTCACAAGAATAGTAATCTTTTAACAAGACTATTAACAAAAGTGTTATTAATATAATTTTGAAATGAAATAATAGATTCATCGATGTGTTCTGATTTGAAATCACAATCCATAAAATCAGACAAATATCTGGCCATACTAATTTTATTTTCATCACAAACAACTTCGCCAGTTAACAATGCATTTGAGACATTTTTGGGACCGACCACATGGGCGGAAACTAATAATCCAGCCATAGTAATGTTGCTGATGATGACACCTTGAGTACCAATATCACAACCAAAGAAAGTTTTTGGTTGTAATAGATATCGAGACAACGGCGATGAGGGAGAGGAAGTATCATTACTGTAGCTATTGGTATTGTTAGCGAGATTCTCTGTGATTTTTTTCAGGTTTAGTTGGAATAATTCTCTGATAGCAAGTTCTTGTACTTGTTGTTTATTATTCAAAAAATCCAAGTAACTTGTACAATTATTTTTGCCAGTCCATTTACCCAACCATAAATTTTTATGATGATAGGGAAGTTGTGATATTGATGTTGTTTTTGATGATGATTGTGAATCAGTATTAACAATATTATTAGTGGGGGTGATGGAACTATCAATTAATGTGGTGGAAGGAGGAGATGGAGTGGAGGGTGGTGGTAACTCATAATATCCAAGATCGACCAATAAATCTTCACCGAATCGATATTTTCCCGTAAAATTTAAACTATCTGTCGTGCTATATGATGAACTATCACTTTTACCCGATTCCAATTGTCCAAGAGTATCTAATGTAGCATTAAGTGCTGGCATACCAAAATCACCGGTACAATGAGGTCTATAAAACACAAATGGATTTCTTAAAAATACTATTGATATCACTATAGCTGAAATTATTATTAATAAGAATAGAATACACAGTATTATTCTTGAACGTGTACAATTAATGCGTCTTGCTATTTTTTTTTTTATTTTTTTTATTCTTTTTTTTTTGGAAATTATTACCATTTCTGCGATTGGATCCCTGTTATCAACAATGTTATCTTTATTATTGATATTATTATTACTATTACTGCCATTATGAATGTCATCAAATCTGATTACATTGCTATTACTATTATTATTATTATTATTATTATTATCATTTGGTGTTATTGCTGTATTTATTATTAGTGATGGTGGTGATGATGAATTTTCTACTTTCTTCTTGGTCATTTGTAAAGTTTATATGTAAAAATATAATTAAATAAACCGTGTGTGAGGAGAGTAGTGAAAAGGGAAAGATTTTGACAGCGTTGTACAAACAAAAGTCAAATTTACTTTTTTATCTTATATCACCTGACTTATTAATAATACTAGCTAGTTATTATTCTTATTCTTATTGTTATTGTATTAGTATTCGTATTCGAAACTTGAAAAATTCGAAAATGAAAATTCGAAAAAAAAATTTTTATTTTTGTAATACAAAATGTATATGACGTTTACGTAATACAAACAGGTATTTATAGAAAATTTTATTTATGCCGTGTTATGTGATATCTTCCATTCTATCACTGTGAATGTCGGAGCGATGTAGATGGTGTTACTCGTTTATGATGCATAAATATTTATCAAATAAATAAATCCTGCCTGACTGAACTGATACAAATGCCAATGCGTCTTAATAAGATTTAATCGATAACGTGTAAAAATATTTACGATCGTGATTATTTTACAAATTGTTCATCAATTTTTATTATTATCATGATTAAAATTCATGGCAACTTTACGCATAAATTCATGCAAAAATTTCTTTGATTAAAAATTATTGATTAGAAGATTAGAAAATCTACATACCAACATTGGTAGTATGTTGAACTTGCGATGATAACATATCGAGAGTGCAATTTAAAAATTTTATTATGGTAAATCATGTAAATCAATATGCATAAACAATTGCATAATAATTAAATCTTAATTAATTAATTAATACTAGTAAGTATAATAAAAGAAGAATAGAAAATTTTTTTTTATCTTGATTACTGTTAACAGTTAATCCATAAAAAAATCCCAAATTCTAAATTTCCTCCACCAGATTAAAACTCACGATGATGGATCTCAAAAAAGAAAAAGATTCTCGGGTTTCACTAAAAAAATTCATAAAACCAATCCGATCATCCCTCGTTTTTTTTAAATTTAGAAATTAGTATTAGCCACAGATTTAGAAATAGCCAAATTCTAAAATAAAAAGATAATTAAAATTTTTTTTCTTCCATGCTGAACACAAGATTTTTTTTTTTTTCACTTTTTTCCCAAAAGATATTGTAAAGGCTTTCGAAACAGTATGCAAAATTTTTTTCTGTAGGGTTTTATTTATTTGTTAGTAGTATATCAGGAAATTTTAAAGTTAAAGTTATAAATACAAGATTACATGATAATGATTTGAGTTACAAATCAGTTTGTCTTTGAATGTTTGAATTTAGAGATCTTTATAAAGTTAGCTGGTTAATTAGTATATAAAAAGAGAGGAGGGAGGGAAAGGATATAGATATATAAAGGAAAAGTGGATATATAAAGAGTGCTACTTGTTCAATATTTTTGCATAACAATGTCAAATTTCCATCTTTAGAAAATCACGAAATAAATAAATAAATAATAATAATATCAGATGTTATACGCTTCACAATTTCACAGATTACACAAACCTATCAAAAAACAATTTAGACCAGAATAATCTATTAATAATTACCAATGTTCTATGAATGTTCTATGAGTATATAGAAAGAATTGTACATTATGTATGTACATATATGTATAGAGACAATTTTAGAAAAATAATTTTGTTAGTAATCTCATGATTTGGAAAATTCTGTGTCAACAATGACAGAAAAATAAATTTATTGTACTACACAGTAATCGTCATGAATTATTACCAAAAGTTATAAATAGCTATGGATGTAAAAATTCCGATTGACTGGAATTTATTTTCAATGTGGCTAAAAAAAAAAATGATTTGAAGTTCGGTGATCGTTCTGCCTGATAAAATTTTTATAGAAGTTTCGAGAACAACAATTTCACAATATAACAATGAACATTATTTAAAATATAAATAACATAAATAAACAATAAACAATAAACATAATTAATATAATATAATAATAATATAATTATATTGCTATTACTATTTTGTTTAATTCATCGATTTTTGCTTTATTTGTAAATTGTTTGAATGAAGTAGCCGAATGAAACATTGAAGTGGCTCGTTAAATATTAATAAATATATTAACGCCTTTATTTGACCGAATGGATTCTAATTAATTATCATAAAGTTTCCATTAAAAGTTTTTTAAAAAATTCTATGGATAACTTGCAAAGCATCTGTAAGGATTTATTATCGTTGAATTATTTTATTAGAAAAAATTCTCCGAGTCAGTTAAAATGGAATAAAGCAAAGGGTTAAATAAATTTCTTTAAAAGTTTATTAACGAGTTAATTTCAACAAAGTTTCTTAAAGAAGTTTGTTTTCAACGGGCTAATTAAAAAGCTAATTACAAAGCTTCTTAAAAAGTTTATTAACGGCTCGTTAATTTACAAATTAATTTTTAAATTTCTTAAATCTTGCTAATAATTAAAGACATAATAAATTAATTAATTAGGAGAATTTGAATAAATAATATTATTATCATTATTCATCATTATTCATCATATCATCATTATGATATAATTTATACATTATTATATAAAAAATTTATAAATAGTTTTATTGTTACATCAAGTGGCGCGAAAACTGTTACACTCTAAACCTAACAATAAAAAAAAAAATTCAAAAAACCGAGCTTAATAAGCCGAGATTCATGTAGATCAATCATTTATTATTAATTTATTTATTGGAGATTTAGTATAAATATACGTGGAGTTGTGGCTGTTAAATTTTCTCATCAACCAAAAATAAATAAATAAAAATTCTTCTTATCCAAAAAAAAAAAATTTTAAAAATTTTAAAGATTAAAATCTTAACTTTCAAAAAAAAAAATCAAAGTTTAAATTTTTTTTCTTATTTGATAATAACTACTTTTTTCAAATTAGAAAATAAGAAAATTTCCTTTTTATTCTCACAAGGGTGAAAACTTTAATTTTTTTATAAAATTTTATTTATTATAAAAATAAAACTTTTTTTCGAAGTTTCATTTTAAAAATTTTTTATTTTTTAAAAAAAATCTAAAAAATCTTGAAATAAAAAAAAATGGACGTTGAAGCAAGAAAATTCTGTGGATTATTGATGTTCAATAAACCATTTGTATCATCAAAAGGTCCTGGATCATTCGATTCATCATCAAATTATAATAATAATAATAATAATAATAATAACAATTTATCATCTTCAATCATCCAATCAAATTACAACATCAATTCATCGGCAAATCCAACAACCAATAATAATAGATCAAACGATTACATTTCATTGGATAACAGTAACTACAATAATATTATCAAGAATAATAATAATAACAGCGATGATGACAAATCATCAAAAGACCAAGACGAAAAAAGACCTCCCAGACCTCCAAATGCTTTCATCTTATACAGAAGAGCAAGACAACCTGCAATCTTGGCAGCAAAAAGACATTTGACCAACGCAGAAATCTCTAGATATATTTCCGATCTATGGAAAAACGAAAGCAACGAAACTAAATTGGAATGGGAAAGATACGCTGATCAAAAGAAATTGGAACACATGCAAGCATATCCAAATTACGTTTATAAGCCAAACAAAAAAGGCAAAAACGAAAAACGTAAACAACAACGTAAACAATCTGCCCTTTCTTCCGTCGTTACATCCACCATTACTCATCCTTCTATTAATAACAATAACAACATTGAAGTTGGCCCGATTAGAAATAGAAAATTGACTAGAGGCCAAAATCGTTTCAATATAATTAATAATAACAATAACAATATCAACAATATCAATAGCGAAAGTAGATTATTAGAAATGCCATTCCATCATCCATCTTATCAACAACCACAACAATCCATCGATTATAATAATATTTATAATGCAAATATTAATGCTGTTAATAACTTGCATCAAATCATTACATCAAATTTGTATCATCATGCACAACAACAACAACAACAACAACAACAACAACAATTACATCATCCTTCACAATACTTGTATAATAATGACATAATAGGTGATGATCTTACATCAACTCAAATAACTCCTGCTCAATCTACCACTCCTACCCCAATTGCAACTCACACAACTCAACAATTAGATCAGTTACAATCCACACTTTGGAGGATTATTCCAAGTCAAAATCACGAGGATAATCACAATAGCAATAACAATAATAATAACAATATTAGTAATAATCACAATAACAATCATAATTTAGCATTATCGACTGATTTATCAACATTTCAAGATCAACAACCAATTAATAGCAATAATAATAACAGTGAAGAATCATCTTTGTCTGCTTCTACTACATGTTCATCATCTTTATTTAATGAAGAAGCTGCTGCAATCGATACTTCCTTAATATTCTTTAATCTTAATTCTAATCCTAATAGTTCTGATGATAATCATAATAATACTGGTGATTTAATATATCACAATAATAATCTTCCTGAATTTCGTGATAACTTTGTTGATTTATTTACAAGTTTCGATTCATTCGACAATTATTCATGTAGTTCAGTTAATCATTAATCGATTTCATTATAGAATAATCTTTTTTATTTCTTTATTGTTATGATAACATTTTATATATAACATTCATTTATTTATTTCATTTTTCATTTTTCATTTTTCATTTTCATTTTTCATTATTTTTTCTTTTTTAATTATGATGATGGAGGGAGAAGAATGTTGTAAATAGTTAGTATTTTTAGTAAATAACAAAAAAAAAAAAAAAACAAATAAATAATTTATTTATTATTTATTTATTGTTTATTATAAATATATACATATACACACACACATATACACACACACACACATATATACATAATAATTTATAGAATTTTAGAATTAAAGAAAGTGCCTGGTCGCACTTGTGAAAAAATTTATTTAATTTGTAAAAAAAAAAAAAATAATTTATTTTATATTGTATAAAATAAATAAATTACAATATATATTTTATACAACTTTTTTCTCCTTCCATCAATTTCTAAACATTTATTTCTATATCTATTTTTTCTCCTTCCATCATTTCATCATCATTCATCATCGCATTAATACATATACGCACACATACACAATTGTAAAATAATAAAAAAAATCTTCAAAATTTAAAATTTCATTTTCAAATTTTTTTTTTTTAATTTCATTTTTCAAAATTTTTTTTTCGTTTATATTTATTTTGTTATATTATTTTTTTTTTAAATAAAAAAATCAATTTTAAAAATAAAAAAAAAAATATATAAACTTGTAAGTGATTCTGTTTGTTGACTATGTGTTCAAACCGATTTAATATGGGCAACCTACCCACCCCTATAAAATAATAAAAATAAGCAATTGATGTTATCACAAAAATTCTTAATTTATTCAAAAAATTATTTATAAAGGGTATATATAATATGTATAGATTAATAAGTGCTTATGGCCTTCCTATGCAACATATAAACAGCTTGGTAAATTGGTGTACTAAAGTGTTCATATATCTGTGGAATTTTCTATTTCTGATTTTTCGTTTTGCAAATTTCTGTTTAACCTTGCTGGTTTGCAATATTTTATTCACGTGTCGTCCAGTCAAGTCAACTAATCAAATTGCTTGACTCGAGCATTTCCGGAGCCTGCAATGTCTCAGTTGCGAATTCAAATGTATGACCAAAATAAATTATTTGATTCGCTACATCATTAATGTATTTAGCCGAGCTGCTATTATCATGTGATTTAATCACAAACATGGCACAAAGGTAAATAATTTTCTCCTTGTTTAATAAAGGGGTGAACGAAGCACATCTGAAACCCTTTGTGTGTTTCAAGTATTAACAAATAAAAAGAAACTGTTAAAATTTTTTTTGTATATGAAAGTCGAATACATTAACGTAATTAAATTTGAAGAATTTAGACATATCGGGTTTAAAAAAGAAACTGCTAAGAAGACAAATTGTGGCGATTATTTTAATCTTTATTATTATTATTATTATTATATAAGATTGATTTGTCAACAATTCTGACGTGACACATTATTATTGAATATTATTAATAATAAAAACGTTGTTTGAATGAGTTATCATTACATTATTTTTTCACAAGTATTTTTTGTGATTTGATAAAAACATTACCAATTCACTCATTTACACATCAAACTATAAAAAATATACTAATATTTAACTTTTACAAACGAATTTTTTTGTCGAACGGAATTTTTTTTTGGCTTTTTACTAAATGTATACAAACCAAAAATCTAACACAATAGAGAGCCTGAACAAAAGTAAACTCGCTAGTACTCTCAATGGATATTGAAAAGGTTTTAAAACTTATTTAATAAGAACTGAAGTTATTTGGAGAAGGAAAGGAAATCGCTGTATCCAATGTATAAAAACTTCTACCAATGAAAAACTGATCCTAGGAAAAAAGTAATTCAGGATAAGAATAAAGGAGCAGATGATGATGATGATTATGATTATGGTGATAAAAAGGGCGAAGAAAAGATATTAATAATAAAAAATGACTCGTAAATGGCTTTGGGTTCGAGTATTTCTTTCTATGCAATTGCTCTAGCGATTCTTATCTCGTATGCATTTTTCTATGTCTTGGTTAAATATAACATAACTAATTTTTTTTTTATTATTGTTAAATTATTTCCTTGTATCTGACATACATTTAATTTTTCAAAGGATTAATTAATAAAGTAAATAAATTACATCTCCAAGTAATAATAATAATAATAATATCAAGACCATGCAGAAATGAGTTTTATTGAAAAAAGCCACAAGTCTACTCGGGTCTATGGGATAACAGAATAATTATAATAAATGATTTTATTCCAAAATTTCCCCAAAAGATTATTTTTGCCATTTTCAATTTATCCAGTGACACAGTTCCCGTTTTAAATATCAGATTTAATAAGTAATCCTTATACGCCTTGAACATGGAAAAAACTTTAATAGTTGCTCCTAATGAGACGAATAATGAGACGAACAAGCTAAGATTATATATATGGCCTTGACCGTACTGACATACAAGTTAACATACAGCTCTCAACTATTCATCCGGTTGTTTTTCAGTTGGTAGATCAGAATAATTGTAATGCTTCGTCATTCAAGAAATTTACAAAACTTCGACATTCATTGTTGTTCCTTTGAGAAATGACTATTAAATCTAGCAAAAACAAAAGAAAATCTGCCGATGATTATATATATACATTGAAACATTTATCTACTTTATTTATCGATGTAGCCATCTTTACATTTACTCTTCCTCGAATATTGCTGAAGAAGTTCCACCGATTTGCATTCTATGTAAGTTCTTTTAAAAATTAGTAATAAATTGAGTTAATAAACGAAGAGTTATTATAAAAATTGAAAATCATTCGAGATTCCCATACCTTTAAGAACATTCATTAAAAATCATGTGCAAATCAAACAATCAACCGAATGTTTAAATGAGAAGATACTAAAACTCTTCGCCAACCTCTCTCTTTCCTTCTTACAATGATTATGACATACTAATGATGAAATAAATATCCCAACTTAAAATTAATGGAACCTGGTTGTTGATCTTGAAAATCAAAGTACCCTTCCAACCTTCCTCAAATTCCAAGAATCCATATATACATCAATCTGCATAACAAATATAAAGATACTTCATATCCATCCAGGAGAGAATTTTCTGATGAGTATTAGAATACAAGAAGTTATTTTTTTTTATATCATTATTAATGCTTCGTCATTTTCATTATCATTAGGTATTACTATTTGAATATTATTGATATTATTGTTAATATTACCATTTTTGTATAATTAATGATAAAATATTCTAGTTGCACTAAATTTAATAAGGATGTCGAGGGGATTTCAGGGGAACTTAGATAATTTATAATACAATATTAATATATTTATTTTATATTCGCATCAAAAATGTTGGCGAGATTCTTGAATTGGGATTGGTGAATGCTTAGAGATGGAATCGACTATTTTAGTCAACTAAAATAGTTGAAAATAGCCGACTAACACTAATTAGTCAATTAAAATGTATGAACCAATGAACACTTACTTCTGATAAGATTCATTCGCTTCGGTTCCATAATTCATTTAGTTCGGGTTTCAATGGTTTAAATGGTGGCTTTGGAGGACCTTCGAATAAAAGAAAAAAAAAGGAGGTAACGCAGCACATAGTTTTAAGAGATCAATTCATCATTTAATTATTATTATTATTTTTAATAATATAATAAATATATTCATTGTGTCTAAATTGTTTTAGGATGTCTAAAGTCAATATTTAGACAAAAATGTAAATGTGATATTTGACGCGGATATGATATATTTGGACATTGTCAAACGTGCCAATCCATCTATAATTCATTGATAGAAAGAATTAAAAAAATTTTTTAACAAACTAAAAAAATTTTGACTATAGACTTTTTTGACCGATTCCAATCTCTAGAATACCAAAGAAAAAATAAAGCATCACTCTAATGCTTATCATTTAACAATCACATAAAGCTCTCAAAAAAAAATAAAAAATAAAGCTATTCGACTATTGGAGGTTTTCCCCGACGACGAAAATTATTTTACTTTGCCGTCAACTATGGCCCGTCAGCTGAAGTATTTATTGATTCCGTAAACTTTATTAGTGATGCTGATAGTAATAATAACAATAAATCTGTTATTTCTCAGACGAAGTCTGCCGACTTAACTATGTCAGCCACCTCTTCTATTTGGGAAGAAATTATCGAACAGTATTAAAAAATAAAATTCTCTATGAAAGAAACCAAAATTGGTTGACTGTTATTGCCTAAAGTTAA